GTGTGTTGATATAATTAGCATAGCCAGGTGTGTTGATATATTTAGCATAGCCAGGTGTGTTGATATAATTAGCATAGCCAGGTGTGTTGATATAATTAGCATAGCCAGGTGTGTTGATATAATTAGCATAGCCAGGTGTGTTGATATAATTAGCACGGCCAGGTGTGTTGATATAATTAGCACGGCCAGGTGTGTTGATATAATTAGCACGGCCAGGTGTGTTGATATAATTAGCACGGCCAGGTGTGTTGATATGTTTAGCACGGCCAGATGTGTTGATATGTTTAGCACGGCCAGATGTGTTGATATAACTAGCACGGCCAGGTGTGTAATAAACTACATTTAATTCCTGTGACCAACAACTAAACATTTGAAAATGTTACGTATGTCACTAAAAAGTCCTTGATGTTCTACTATCATCATACATACAAATCTCCTTCTTCCCTCTATATGATTAACTCTGATAACCATACGTTTACACCAATTCATTCTTGAGGTCACCTATGTAACTTTACAATGTTCAAACTTTTAAAATATCCCTCTTAACAAACTAAACATCTAGTATCTTAAAAAACAACGACATATAAACTTCTATTCCAGTTTTCATTAGTACTTTCCTGACACAACGTCCTTTGTGATTTAACATTAGTGGACACACAGTACAAACTTAACTTCAACCATTCTTGTTTTAACATGAGAACATAGTAATCGTAAATTTCAAATTCACCCATTCTTCTTTCAACAAGATAATCTTACACTCCTAAAGCTCAGACTAGACCTTCACAGCTTTCCACGGGAGACAAATCCTGTCCTCTGTTTACTTGCCAACATTCTATAGTGTGGATCTTGAAATAGTCAGCAACTGTCTGGAACATCTTGAATCCACCAGCTAGCACGATCTAGGTTATAAATAATTAATACAACTATTATAAGAATCAACACTTTCGGCTAAGTCTTATTAACAGCTTTGGAATGTTTTGTAATCCAGCAAAAAAAATTATTATTTTGTTTTGAAGTCATACATCTACATCTATCAGTTTTAGTCAATCCCGTCAATGAGTTCATTACAATATATATATATATATATATATATATATATATATATTAGAATATGGAACACCTTTATTTGAGTTGTTAGCATTAGTTTAACCCACTGTTTGTCACAGACCAGAATTCATTTCCAATCCTCTCGCGAGGCTTCAAATAAACTACTTTATATTTTGGGTACAGGAATGATGGACATTTACTGGTGATGAATCTCTAGTTGCTTCCTTTCTCAACCAATCACTGATAATATTTTCTGTTACAAGCCATACACCATTCTGAATATAAAGTGTAATGTGACAAATCTCTCGATGTGTGATACGATTTTAAATTATGAATTTTGCTTCTAAGCTTTCTTTTGGCAACTTTTTCTGGGGTTTCAGGGACAAAAATTTTTCTCAATTGAGTTTGTTTTTGAAAAATCATGTTCAGTTTTTTGGGGGAAATTTTTAGTCCCCCTCCCCCAAAAAAATATAAGTTTCTTGGAATTTTTGAGTCTTTGGAAAAAGTTTTCAAAAACCTGGCTTTAAAACAGCACAAAAATTAGTTTTTTTTCAAAGGATTTTTTACAAATCAATGGAAATAATTTGCTTTGCTTCTCTGTTAACATTTATTTCAAATAAACTTTCATAACTTTAATGTAAAACTCTGACAAAATTCAAACATCACAAATCTTAAGATCAGCTCATTGAGCTGTCAGAATCACTGGCCCTGAAAAAATGTTCACTAGAGTTTTTTTTTGAAAATTTTTCCAATTTTTTTGCAGTTTTCGGTTAGTTTTTTTCACCAAAAAAAGGCCTACCTAACTCGGAACTCGTTTTTAATTTTTAGTGTTTTTATGTTGCCACAAGTACTGTACCTAAATGTAGCAAACATGAATTTAACAAAATATCGGTGATTTAGAAAGACAGCAAACTTACATTGTAAAAATCTCGGGTATTTAGACTTTACGTATTTAAAAACAAAAGGTAATCATCAAAAAAACAATACTCAAAATAAAATTGTAGCCTAACAGGTTACACTAAAAGCTATTTTTCTTAAGTGCTTGAAAGCAGTGTCAATAAAATTCACTGAAAAAAGTTACATTTGATTCATAGTTTTTTGTCAAGCTACAAGTGTAAATATTGTGTTTATCACGATTTATTCCAAAGTTATTGTACTGAAGACTATTATATCTCATACTAACTTTATATTTTACTAATAAAGCTTTTCTTTAATAGAGTAATACATTCCATAGTCTTAAAGTAGAGTTACTGTCTGTGAAATGACAGTTTCATGAGCAATACAGTAGTGGTTAGAAGATGTAAACAACGTACATGTGTGTAAAACTTGACTTTGATCATCTCATTTACGTAAGCATGTAAACCTGAACACGAGAAATGAACTTTCAACTGAGATTCTCAAATAACATTAAACAAGATCCGAGATAAGTGAGCGGTATCACAAGTTACTACAACTGGAAGTGTTGATATCGAACTAAAGAATTAAGAATTAGGAGGTGTATTTAGTTTAAAAGTGATTGAAAGCTTGAGCAGTGTTCTTGAAGCATAAAGCTATATTTTTCTTCTTGTTTATATTTGCTTTCCTACAGTATTTGTTCTCAGGAAGTTCTATGTCTGTTTCGTTTAAGTCTTATTAAAGATTATTATAGCTCCACATGCAACTGACTAGTTATAAACAACAGACTTAGCGTTTAATGAAAACAATATATATTTTCGAAAACCCTAAATCAAGTTCATCTTTCCTTAAGAAATAGAATAAGCTAGACAAAACAGGAAGACAAAGTTTAATCCATTATAAATGCTGTACAATCTGAGATGTTTGCCGAGGCTTATCAGCATCCAAAATCAGTGGGAGAAAAAAAATTGTTGTCAAAGTTCTTCTTTAGCAATTTTATATTAAATAAAAATAAATGAAAAGATAAAGATTGATATAAAAACCTTGATATGTTGTAATTAATTACTCCTTCTTCAGTTTGGAAAACTAAAGTTATTACACTAAAAAGGTCAGCAGTATGTAAGAGAAATGTGGCAGTCTCACAAAATAACTAGCATGTTATCAAGATAGAAGACTTGAAAGAGATTTTGTTGATATCAGGCTAAACAACCAAGAGTTGGGAGGTATCACGAGTTACTACATGATTGGAAATATCACGAGTTAACCAAGAGTTGGGAGGAAGTTACTACATGATTGGAAATGTTGATATCAGGCTAAACCGTGATACCTCCCAACTGTGACAGTATTTAAGTAAATAAGTATGAAAGTAGTCGGGTATAATCAGGTAAGTGTGAAAGTAGTCGGGTATAATCAGGTAAGTGTGAAAGTAGTCGGGTATAATCAGGTAAGTGTGAAAGTAGTCGGGTATAATCAGGTAAGTGATGAAAGTAGTCGGGTATAATCAGGTAAGTGTGAAAGTTTGAAATTGTGTTCTGAACTGTCACTGTTTTGTTTGTTAGAGGTTCAGCCATTATTATCTTGTTAATAACTTTAATAAGCATCATTAATAGCCAAAACTACACTTACTGTTAATTTTGTAAAATACATCAGTTTTTGTGGTGTAAGTATTGTTTTGAATGTATACTCTCAAGAGATACTTTTAAAACAACACTTTTAGATTGCCATAAACAAATGTCATTGTCAAACAAACAGCACATTTCGAACATGTGGCTGCTTTAATTTTAAGCTCCTGCTTATAAAGATGTAACAAACTTTGGCTTATAAAAATCACCAACTCCCTCCCATTATATGGTTACCTAACTAATATAATTGAATGATTTACAAACTTATATTTTTGGTAACTTTTAGCCCAAGATCAAAGTAATGTTATTGTCTTGAAAAAACTTGAAATGTTTTCCAGGGCTCGGAGATTTGGCATATTTCTATATATCAGCTGTGTTCCTGTGGAACGGTTTAGTGAGTGCTACACTCTTTCTTTATGGATATGTTTTAAGGTAACGTAATCCAACATTTCTGTTAAATCTTTTACTATTGAATGCGACTATTTATCATGAATTTCCAGTTCAGTTTCGATTTGTTATGTTAGATATAAATTAATTTTACCATTTTTTGTGAATTTCTGTCCATTTTTTAACCGTTTATGCTATTCATTTGATTGTTTGTTTTTTTGCGTTTTTCTCACTCATCTGACTTCTTTTGATGTTAATGTTACAGTTTTTATGTTTGTAAAATGAATGAGATCACATGGCCTTGAAGTAAAGACACTGTAGCTAATCAGACACACTGTCACAGTTGTTCTCTGCATTATGATATAATGACAGGAAACAAACAAACTTTTATGTACTGGTTTTGGTTTCTAAAGAAAAATATGATCATTACAAAAAAAGTTGTCCTCTGTAATGTGTTGTGCATCAGAGTTTGTATCCGTCTCAAAATACTGAGTTAATTATGTATTATTTGTTGAGACTTGTAGACAAATACTCCAAACTTTCTTTCCTTTTTATCAATTTAGAATGCGTGATAAGGGTCATAGAAGACTCAGATTAATATTTTCTTCTCGAGGAAAATGTCACCATGATCTAACATTCTACATTAGGAGGGTCTTTCAAGCTCAGTTGAAATATCCCAGTTACTGACTGATAGTGTGATTGGTATTTAGAAAGGGGAAAAAACGTTTTTTACAGATGAACTCATTCTTTCAAAATTAAAGACCTATGAAGCTATGTATTTACAAATGTAGTTCATTGTTTTGGTCCCGAAATACAAAACTCTTTCATTTCTGGTGGATGCCGATAAATTTTCTCATGAGCCTGTTTTGAATATGGAGTGAAGTGTTTTATGTTTGGAGCAAACGTTAAATTAACCTACAAATGGCACTTCCAGCTTAAACATAAAAATAGTTTTTATGGAAAATTTAATGATTTGATTTGTATTGATTTAGTTTAAACCATACTTTATAATTGTTGTCTGTAGCGACTCGGTCGTTGGTGGCTTGCTATCTGTGTCGTGCTTTTTCTTCAATCATGGTGAGGTAAGTGCATTTATTGTTCACTGAAATCTGTAAGAAGTCTGGCATGGTTGGGGCTCAGCACTTGCAACCTCCTCATCCTTTCGGTCATGAGGTGTTATAATGTAACAATCAATCACTTCGTAATCATTTGTAAACATGCTGACTAACACCACCGTTGTATAGTTCATAACATCCTAATCAGTTTGTAAACATACTAACTGACACCACCATTGTTTAGTTGTTCACTTCCTAATCAGTTTGTAAACATACTAACTAACACCACCATTGTTTAGTTGTTCACTTCCTAATCAGTTTGTAAACATAATAACTGACAACACCATTGTTTAGTTCATCACTTCTTAATCAGTTTGTAAACACACTAACTGACACCACCATTGTTTAGTTCATAACTTCCTAATTAGTTTGTAAACATACTGA